TAGGCTTTTAAAAAAATCCAGGATCTTCAATCAGAAAATCTAATATACTACACTGTGTACTTTGTATGCTCATAAACTTCCCACTGTAAACAAAACACAATTAGTTCTTGGGAGCTTGCTCTTGCAAACATTTTAAAAGAAATCAGTATGACAAATACTTACAAGTTAATCATTGAACCTTTTCAGACAGACCAAAATCTCCAAATGCCACAAATTAAAAAATTGAAACTCAAAAGTAACTTTTAAAATATATTGCATTACACCTCCCCCCCCAACTCTGAATGAAAATATATCTTCAAAAGGCATTGTCATTACTTATCAAATTAAGCTCCTTTGAAATAACTAAGTTCTTGTCATGAACTTTTTCTAATAAAATCAAAGGATTGTGGGGCTATAAATAATGGCTTCTTCCACATTGTTGCTTATTCCAAAATTGTGTAGAGCTAGCATAAGATGCAATGTCTCTTTTTCATGTGATCAGTCTCTTTGAAAAATAGCTGACAAGCTGTTCAATCCCTGTTTTACCTTGCAGTAAAACTGCCCCCACACCATTGCATCAACAGCCAATTTGAATGACTTCCCACAGTTAGGCATTGCTAAAATCAGTGTGGTTGTCAGCACAGCTTTCAGGTTTCAAAGGCACATTGACACTTCAGCTACCATTCACGTTTTATGAACTGAAAGTAAAAAATGCTGGAGATGAAGAGTCATCTAGACTCGAAACGTCAGCTTGCTGTCTCTCCAATGGATGCTGCCTGACCTGCTGTGATCTCCAGCTTTTTTTTGTTTTCAGTACAGATTCCTGCATCTGCAGTAATTTGCTCCTTCACATTTTATACCTTTTTTCAACAAGTCTATTAAAGATGCGAACAGCGTGTTGAAATTCTGAACAAACTTGTCACAAAATCCACTCATGCCAACACAGCACAAATTTCATGTTTTTTCCTAGGCGCAGGAAAATCCAAACTATCTCATAATTTTACTTCTCTTGAAGCTATTTGACCTTGTCCCACAGTGTGGAACAAGTCAGTCATATTTGCCTTGTCAAATTCACTCTTGTTTTTATTCACTTGTGGAATGTGAGTACCACTGGCTGGGCCCGTTCCTAGTTGCTATTGAAAAGGTGGGGGTGAGCTGTCTTTTTGAACCGCTGCAGTTCATGTGCCGTGGGTTGACCCAAAATACCCAAAGGGAGGGAATTCCAGGATTTTCACCCAGCGACACTGAAGGAACAGCAATATATTTACAAGTCAGGATGGTGAGTGGCTTTGAGGGGAACTTGCAGATGGTGGTATTCCCATGTATCTGCTGCCGTTATCCTTCTAGATGGAAGTGCTTGTGGGTTTGGAAGCAGCTATATAAGGATCTGTGAATTTCTGCAGTGCATCTTGAAGATAGTAGCAGTCTGTGCTCTGTGTTGATAGTGGATGTGGTGCCAGTCAAGCGGGCTGCTTTGTCTTAGATGGTGTCAAGCTTCTTGAGTGTTGTTGGAACTGCAACCATCCAGGCAAGTGGGGATTTTCCATTTCACTCCCCACTTGTGCCTTGTAGATGACGTATAGGCGAGTTACTTGCTGCAGAATTCCTAGCCTCTGATTTGCTTTTGTGGCTACTGTTTATGTGGTGAGTCCAGTGGAGTTTCTGGCCAATGGTAATTGATAGTGAGGGTTTCGTGGTAATACCATTGAATGTCAAGGGGCAGTGGTTAGATTGTCTCTTATGGGAGATGGGCATTGCCAGGCGTTTGTGTGGCACAAATGTTACTTGCCACTTGTCAGCCCAAACCTGGATATTGTCCAGATCTTGTTGCATTTGAACTCTGACAGCTTCAGTGTCTGAGGTGTTGCAAATGGGGCTGAACATTATGCAACCCTCAGCAAACATTCCCACTTTTGACCTAATGATAGAGAAAAGGCAATTAATGAAGCAGCTGAATAAAGTTGAGCCTAGGACACTACCCTGAGGAACTCCTGCAGAGATGTCCTGGAGCTGAGATGACTGACCTCCAACAACCACAACCATCTTCCTGTGTGCCAGGTATGACTCCAATCAGCAGAGATTTGGCCTTCTGATGCCCATTGATTCCAGTTTTGCTAGGGGTCTTTGATGCCACACTCGGTCAAATGCAGCCTTGATGTCAAGGGCTGTCACTCTCACCTCTCCTCTGGAATTCAGTTCTTTTGTCCATCTATCTTCTATCTATCTATTTTTGAAACAAGGTGGTAATGAGGTCAGGAGCTGAATAGAACCCAAACTTAGTGTCAATGAGTAAGTGCTGCATGATAGCACCTGCTGATGACACCTTCCATCAATTTACTAATGATTGAGTATCAACTGATGTGATGATAATTGGCCAGGTTGGATTCTTTGTTAATTCATTCACAGGATGAGGGCATTGCTGGCTAGGCATCATTTATTGCCCATCCCTAATTGCCCAGAGGGCAGTTAAAAGTCAACCACATTGCTGTGGGTCTGGAATCACATGTAGGCCAGACCCAGATAAGGATGGCAGTTTCTCTCCCTAAAGGGCATTTTTGAACCAGAGAAGTTTTTCTTGACAATCAACAATGGATTCATGGTCATCAGTTTGGTGCTGTACCAAATTTATAACCAAATTGGGTTTGCGTAGTTTATCAAACAGTTCAGTCAAATGGGTCCTACAAAATCTATTAAGACTGTGCTAAATAGTTCTTCAAAAGCTGGTATTTGAATTAAAAACACAGGTTTATTTGAAATTTGTGATTTTCCCACTACTTGTGTACATCCTTATGTAAACCTAGCAATAAATATGTTTAAAGTTTTAGACTAAAATATTAAGTCATCTGCTATTTGAATTTCATGAGTAACTTACATCATTATGATACTCAGATGGAACTAGTACCTGCACTGTCCATTAATCATTAGTTGTTATTTCAGGTGGTCTCCATTTCCTCAGGAATACTTTGTCAAGTAATAACACTCAGGTGTGCTTCTGATTCAATCAGAGTAGTCTGTTCCATATAACTCTTTCACTTCCATTTGTAAGAAAGATAAGTTAAACATATCAACCTCATTCTCTTTATCTTTATTTTTAGTTACAGTTTCAACTTGTGTTCCATAACAATTTAGAAATCACCTCCTTGTTTCATAGATTCATTTTCTTCTTGTCTAATTCTATGGGCCTGAGGTCTTGTCACAACAGTGTCAGAAAACAATCCAGGATGTTCTTTTTGTAAGTTTCTAGTTTCTTTTACCTCTACTGGTTGTCTTACCACCCGTATTTTTAAATCTGCAATATTAGTTCCCAAAATAAAATCAATTCCTTTCATCAGAATTTGTTTCATTATTCCCATATGTATCCATTTACCATGTTACTCTTTAGTCCAACTGTCTCTAATGGAACTGGTTTGTAACCTTCATGTATACCTCCAATTAATATTTTCCCCTTCATTAACCCCTCTGGAAGGCAAACAGTATCACTGGCCAACATCAGTGACTGACCTCCTCTTGTATCACTCAACATTTTTATTATTTTTTTTCTCCTTCACTCAAAGCATTAGGAAATACCTTCCCTTTTGAGATACAATACCCATAATCTCCAGATTCTTCTAGTCAGTATTAAAAAAAAAATGACTGTCCAAAGCCATTTCTCCATCCTTAGTATGTTCTAAGGACCATGTTCTCTTTGTGCTACTGCTACAGTTTTAGTACCTAATTCCGTTTCCTCCCAATGTAAACAAAAATCCATTCATTCTTGGAGACTTTCTTTCTTAAACTGTTTTAAAAGAAATCATAAAGGTCACAGAAATACTTACAAGTGAATTATTAAACATATGACTGCACACAAACATCATATGCTACTAGTTCAAAATTCAAAAATACAAACTCAAAAATAAATGCTATTAAAACAAATATAAATCACACACTTTGCATCACAATTCTGACTTGCAAAAATATCATCATTCCCTCATTATCACTGGGTCAATATCCTGGATCTCCCTCCTTGCTACCTGAACCAAATGGACTGTAACAGTTGAAGGTAGCCTGTCACCACCTTCTCCAGAGCAACTTGAGATTGGTAATAAATGCTGCACTATTAGATATGAAGTAGCAATGTTAAGCCAAGGCTTACTTTGCCATCACAGCTGGAGGTTCTTATGGTACCACTGAGAAAAGGTATTTTTTCTTAGTATCTTGGCCCATATTCTTAAAAAAACAATTAACACAATGTTCTTTACAGAAGCTTGCTGAACCCATGGCAGGGGAGTAGGACATTCCAACCGGAGCTCCTCCACTGCCCCTGTTTATTTCTCATTTCCTTCTCCTTTTCTCTCCATATTTTATCTTTCTTCCCCCTTTCTTTAGTATTTCCCCCCTCTTGGTATTCCGGCGGGTCGCGGCCCGGCCCCTCGGCGGTATGTCAGCTCGGCATGCGAGTGGGTCCTGCCCCCGGCATGTTCCCGAGGCACCGGGGGAGATCAAAGAGGCTGCAATTTCAGCGGCAGCGATACTATCTGCGGCGACAATATTGAGAACAGATGGCTGTGGCCACACGATAGTGAGATCAGAGGAGGACTAATCAATGACTGTTGAACTTCTAACTTATTCCTTTATTTTCCTAGTTTAAACTATGAAACACTTTAGCATTAATTATTACCTTATTTCTTTATGTTTCTACTATTCTATGAAGTAAGCTTAACTCTTTAACTCTTGTTTCTCCTACTATTTTGTGCCTAGGTTTTCTTGTAACTAGATGCCTTGGTACCTAAGGTGGTGCCATGCGACTTTATACACTTTTCACTGTACTCCTGTACTTCTCTACTAGAGTACACATGACAATAAAATCTAAAAAAACTAATAATCTGGATTTTGTACTTCCTGCATTCCAACTGTGATTACACTTGCATCCAGTGAAATACTACTGAGTGTTCTGAGATATCCTGAGGTTCTGATAGATGTCATATAGATGCAATTTCTTTTTTTTAAAGAAATTGTTGCAAATGGGATTCATTTTGTTACAGGCATCTCTGGAGATTGGAAGAACCATTTCACCACAGCACAGACTGAACATTTTAATTCTGTGTACACCCAAGAAATGAAAGGAATTGACTTCCCATTTTACAAGGACTGAAGATGTAAGAATTGAAGTTTAGAATTGTAAGCTTTCTAAACTTTCAATATCAATGCTTCCAACTCATAATCCTGTTTAAGAAGTGTTTTTGCTAATACTGCCTAATATTAGTGTTAGTCTAACCTTCCTGTGCTGATGAGATGTGCCAATTAAACCTTGTATAGGGTGAACTAAACTGGCAGAATACCTTTTGAGTGTGCAAATGCATGTAACACTATTTTATTGAATTTAATGATCATACCAGTAGAGCTAACTAAAATTTAATCTCAAATTAAAATTAAACGAATCTAGTAATCATTAACAATTTCTCAATTTTCTAATCTATTTTTAATTCATTTCAACACCTAAATTTTACTATTTTATCTAAAAATGATGCCTCTATAACTGAAAACAAGGAAAATAAAACAACACTTCTTCTGAATTACCAGCAGATAATAGGGGTCCTGTGTTAAATGCCCATTGTCTATGGTTGGCAATTAAACTAATTACAAGCATCTGAAAAAAGTGAAAGCGTTTGCTAGAATTAAATATTTGAAAAGTGCGATTATTGAGTATTCCATTGATTTAATGACTACATGAGTGGCATAGTGGATTGAATGCTGCGCTGTACCTTGTGTCAGGACAGTGCACACATACAGCATCTGGCAGCACCCTGTGGGCCTGAGGCATGTAGCCACTCATTTTTGCGATTTTGCATATTTCCATGTTATTTCTATTTTGCTTTTGCTTTTAAGAGAACATGTAGACATAAAAATAATAAAAATAGAATTTTTAAAAGACACTCAGTATAAGTCAATCAATGAATTAATCAATTATGCAATCGATAGTAATCTGTAGTGATATCACTAACTGTGGTCGGTTTTATCTCAAAGACATTTGTTTTATTTCCATGCTAGCCAAAACTGGCCATGTTTGCAGCTGTTGTTTTTTTCTCTTTCTGAAACACATCTCTCCCCCTTCTTGCAAAACTTGCTAAAATAAAGTTAATTTCTATTCCATTACCCTTAAGTTACAAGCTAGGGCAATGAATAACCTTGCACATGAGTGTTCAACTTTAGTGTGGAGTCGGGAGATGTGTTAGAGTATAGCATGATTGATGGCAGGTGGGACACAGTAATAAATGGATGTATGGAAAACCAACATGCCACAATGTTTGGGAGAAGAATTTGATGAGGACTTACAGTTGAGAGTCTGGGTGGAGTCCTCTGAAGGAATGGAGCCAAATACTGGTATTCAAGGGGAAACAGTATTCAGTGCTGTGGCTGGAGTGAACTAATCAACCACTTAAAATGCTGAGGAACAGATGTTGACAGTGGAACTGACCAGAGAGTCCAGACCATGCAAGTTCATTTGGAAGCTTAGTGATGTATGTACTATAGGAAACTGTACCATTTTGGGGTTTCCACCTGTGCTATAAAAAAGTTATCGTTCTTTGTTTAAAATATATGTTCAACGTTTTATTTTTCTGATGAAGTTGTCTTTTGTTACTGTATTCATCGTGTTTCTTTAAAACAATTATAAACATACTTCGGTATTAAGTTACTTATTCCTACTATATCCAGAATATGGCTCTGAACCTAAGTAAGACTCCAAAAGAGACTCATGGTCTACAACCCTAATTGGCAATAGAGCCTTCTCTAGTTTACTTCATATGGAGACAGGCCTAGAAAAGATGGCCCAAACATTGCTTGTCTCCACTCACCTGGGTTACTTTAACCAATAGGCATCTCCTAAAACAACAAAGCAAAAGAGGTAATGAAAATAAAAATGAGACATTTAACCTGCATGCTGAAATGTTTGTACAATGTCAGATTCAAATTACCATGAGACACCCTAAGAATAGCAAGCTGGACTTTGACATCCCAGCGCTTAGATTTGCAAAGCAGGAATCATTGACAAAATACACTACAACACGGTATATGCTTTTCTCACCAGGGAAAGATAATAATGAATGATGCCTCTAACACGTTGGATTTCTGATCAAGAACTCCATTCTGTTAGTTTTTCCAATTGACTCATCACTTCAACCAGCAATCCAGGACCTGTTTACCATCATTATGAGCATATATCATCCCACCCTACGAGTTGATATGGTAACCAAATAAGGCTTCCTTTTATTCACTTGTGGGACATGGGAATCATTGGCAGGGCCAGCATTTACTTCCTGTCCCTAGTTGCCCCCTGAGAAGGTGGTGGTGAGCTGCCTTCTTGAACTGCTGCAGTCCACCTGCGGTGGGTTGATCCACAATGCCCTTAGGGAGGAAATTCCAGGATTTTGACCCAGCGACAGTGAAGGAACAACAATATATTTCCAAGTCAGGATGGTGAGTGACTTGGAGGGGAACTTGCAGGGGGTGGTGTTCCCATATATCTGCTGTCCTTGTCTTTCTAGATGAAAGTGGTTGTGGTTTAGAAGGTGCTGTCTGAGGATCTTTGGTGAATTTCTGCAGTGCATCTTGTAGATAGTACACACTGCTGCTACTGAGCGTCGGTGGTGGAGAGAGTGAATGCTTGTGGATGTGGTGCCAATCAAGTGGGCTGTTTTATCCTGGATGGTGTCAAATGTCTTGAATGTTGTTGGAGCTGCACTCATCCAGGCAAGTGGGGAGTATTCCATCACAATCCTGACTTGTGCCTTGTAGATGGTGAACAGGTTTTGAGGAGTCAGGGGAAGAGTTACTCGCTGCAGTATTCCTAGCTTCTGACCTGCTCTTGTAGTCACTGTGTTTATGTGGTGAGTCCAGCTGAGTTTCTGGTCAATGTAAACTCCCAGGATGTTGATAGTCTGGATTCAGTGATGGTAACACCATTGAATGTCAAAAGACAGTGATTAGATTGTCTCTTACTGGAGATGGTCATTGCCTGGCATTTGTGTGGTGAAGATGTTGTTTTCCACTTGTCAGGCCAAGCCCAGATATTGACTAGATCTTGTTGCATTTGAACATGGACTGCTTCTGTATCAGAGATGTCGCAAATGGTGTTGGACATTGTGCAGTCAATGGGGAACATCCCCACTTCTGACCTTATGATGGAGGGAAGGTCATTGATGAAGCAGCTGAAGATGGTTGGGCTGAGAACACTACCCTGAGGAACTCCTGCAGGGATGTCCTGGAGCTGAGATGACTGACCGCCAGCAACCACAACCATCTTCCTATGTGTCAGGTATGACCCCAACCAGTGGAAAGTTTGTCTCTGATACCCATTGATTCCAATTTTGCGAGGACTCCTTGATGCCACACTCAGTCGAATGCTGCCTTGATGTTGAGGGCTGAGACTCTCCCCTCACCTCTGGATTTCAGCTCTTTTGAACCAAAGCTGTAATGAGGTCAGAAACTGAGTGGCCCTGCCAGAGACTAAATTGGGCATCACTAAGCAGATTATTGCTGAGTAATGCTGCTTGATAGCACTGATAACTCCTTCTATTATTCTACGATGATCAAGAGTAGACTGATGGGGCGGTAATTGGCCGGGTTAGATGTGTCCTGAGGAAGGGTCACCGGACCCGAAACGTTAACTCTCTTTTTTCCCTTCACAGATGCTGCCAGACCTGCTGAGGTTTTCCAGCAACTTGGTTTTTGTTGTTGTTGTTGGATTTGTCCTGCTTTTTTGTGTACTAGGACACACCTGGGCTTTTTCCACATTATCAGGTAGATACCAGTGTTGTAACTGTACTGGAACAGCTTGGCTAGGGGAGCAACAAGTTCTGGAGCACAAATCTTCAGTACTATTGCTGGAATGTTGTCAGGGCCTGTAGCCTTTGCAGTATCCAGTGTCTCCAACCATTTCTTGATATCACATGGAGTGAATCAAATTGGCTGAAGACTGGTATCTGTGATGCTGGGGACCACTGGAGGAGGCCGGGATAGATCATCCACTCGGCACTTCTGGCTGAAGATTGCTGCGAAAGCTTCAGCCTTATCTTTTGCCCTGATGTGCTGGGCTCTTCCATCATTGAGGATGGGGATATTTGTGGAGCCTCCTCCTCCAGTGAGTTGTTTAATTGTCCACCACCATTCACAACTGGATGTGGCAGGGCAGCAGAGCTTAGATCTGATTTGTTGGGTTGCAGGATCGCTTAGCTCTGTCTATCACTTGCTGCTTTCGCTGTTTGGCGTGCAAGTAGTCCTGTTTGGTGGCTTCACCAGGTTGATACCTCATCTTTAGGTATGCCTGGTACTGCTCCTGGCATGCCCTCCTGCACTCTCCATTGAACCAGGGTTGATCCCCTGGCTTGATGGTAATGGTTGAGTGGGGGATATGCTGGATCATGAGGTTACAGATTGTGCTGGAGTACGATTTGCTGCCGTTGATGGCCCACAGTGCCTCATGGATGCCCAGTCTTGGGTTGCTAAATCTATTTGAAGTCTGTCCCATTTAGCACAGTGATAGTGCCACACAACACTATGGAGGTTGTTCTCAATGTGACGGTGGGACTTTGTCTCCAAAAGGACTGTGCGGTGGTCACTCTTAGCGATACAGTCATGAACAGATGCATCTGCAGCTGGTAGATTGGTAAGGATGAGGACAAGTATGTTTTTCCCTCTTGTTGGTTTCCTCACCACCTGCCGCAGACCCAGTCTAGCAGCTCTGTCCTCTAGGATCTGACCAACCTCGATCAGCAGCTGCTGAGCCACTCTTGGTGGTGGGCATTGAAATCCCCCACCCAGAGTATATTTTGCACCCTTAGTGTTCAACATTGAGGGGTAGTGATTCATCAACAGGTTTCCTTGCCTATGTTTAGCCCGAAGCCATGATGCCCAGAGTTGATGTTAAGGACTCTGAAGTCAACTCCCTCCCAACTGTATACCAAGTTGCTGCCACCTCTGCTGGGTCTGTTCTACTGATACGACAGGGCATATTCAGGGATAGTGATGGTGGTATCTGGGACATTGTACATCATGTATGATTCTGTAAGTATGACTATGCTAGGCTATTGCTTGACTAGTCTATGAGACAGCTGTCCCAATTCTGGCACCAGCCCCCCATTGTTAGTAACCATGGGAGGGGCTGTTTCTGCTGTTGTCTGTTCCATTGCCTAGGTTGATTGTCAGGTGGCCCGTCCAGTTTCATTTCTTGTTTGAGACTTCATAGTGGCTTTCTAGGCCATTTCAGAGGGTAGTTGAGAGTCAATCACATTGCTATAGGTCTGGTGTCGCATGTAAGTTAGACCAGGTGAGGATGACAGTTTTCCTTCCCTGAAGGATATTAGTGAGCCCGATGGGTTTTTCCGTCATTCAGTAGATTCTTAATTCCAGGTATTTTTATTGAATTCAAATTCCAACATCTATCATTGCATGATTCAAACCTGGGTCCTCAGAACATTAGTGGAGTTTCTGGATTAACAGTATAGTGATAATATCACTCGGCCATCACTCTCCCACAGCTTCTACTAGCAATGACCTGCATGATCTTTTACTAAAGGTTGACTCCAAAGATCATGGGAAATTGAATAAAACAAGGATAACAGTCCTGAGGATGCAGTAATAACTGTGCTGATTAAGAACAGAAATTCAGAATAATCTAAAACCCTAATCCTAACTCTTGAACAGTGATTGATAACCAAACTCGCTTGAACACCACCCACTGGCATCCTCGTGTATTTTTTCAGTCAAGGACCTTGATGTTTGCATTTGTTGTTTGTATTTCTGAAACATTCTAATTACTTATCAGACTATTGAACACAGGCCAAGATCATCCATTTTGGAGTTGAAGTATGGTACTGGATGTGTTAGAGATAGTCACTTATGCCAGAGCTTCGGGTGAGGTTTCAGATGTGATCAACTGTTTTTCAGGTTGGAGATGACCTTTGCTGCTGAATGATTTCTTGCGCAGATACTGAACAATTTGGAACTTTTTTCAATTTAAAAAAAAATGTTGTGGAATTCGTACTTAGTTGATGGAAACATTATTTACTACAAAATTAATTCAGATTGACTGATAAAAGATTAGATTGAAAATATCACCACATCCACCAGCAAGTGAGTAAGTCCTGCCTATTCGTATAGTTTATGTTTATATATTTATTGTAGAAAAAGTTTCTTTTTAAATTAGCTTACATATTATTCAATTCCTTTTATTTTTCTCTTGCATATTTATCTAGCTTCCTTTTAAGTGCACCTATGACATCCACCTCAACAACTCTCTGAGATGTCAGTTTCAGATTCTCTGGATTGCAGCTTTGGTCATCACAATTTAGGAAAAATTGAATTGAATTAACTTTATTGTCACATGTACTCAAATGGATACAGTGAAACGTTTACAGTCACTGCATTACAGCATCATGTTAGGTACAAGGGTGCCTAGGTACGTGTACTTAAGATTAAATTCTTGGGAAGAAAAAAAAAATTATAAAAGTAAAGAAATAAACAGTCCAGCATGATAAATCATGGGGATAAATTATAAGAATAAAGAAGTAAAAAGTTCAGAATATCAGCCTTTCTGACCTAGTCCATGCCAGCACCTGGCCTCA